TCCACCTCAAATTAGTAGTGGTTTACCTGTATTCTTAAAGGAAAAGTAAGATGTAGAGTCATGCCTGTTGTCTATCTAACACCTTTCAGGAGAAGGAAGTTTATTTCAGTTCAAACGTTATTTTGCACTGGAAATTTGTATACATATGTAGACCTCCCGCCTCTAAGAGGTTTCTATATCTGGTCATGTCTTTCATCTAACTCCATTCTCAATGAAGGAAGGACAGAATGACGACATTGAAAAAATTGTAGACCCATAAATTCTCAAATTTCAACCCAATTATCAGCTACATTGTATTCTATTACAGCATTAACAATTCATACCTGCTAATAATAATTAAACTAGCAGCAAAATAGTCACATGCACATTTGCCTAATAAGACTTGAATAATGAATAGAATTACANATTACAAATTTCAATTTAGTAATTACAAGTTTCATACTAATAATTGTTGAAATAAATTTGTTTTGTAGCCAGAAAGTCCAGTGTTGGCATTTATAGTTTAATAAAGTTTTGATATTTTTATGAACTAGTGCAAAGGCTGTCATTTCTTTTAACATTTTGGATATTGCAAGTATAAAATTTACTGAAAGTATTAATATTATAACAATACATTGCACTATTTATAATTATTCATTCATTCATTCATTCATTACCAGTAATTTATGTAGTAAGGTTCAATTTGAACAAAATGCTCTCTGTTCTTATAACAAATGTCAAAATATCACCTGAATTAACTGATTATTCTGTTTCATATGAAGATGCAGTTAAAGTGCTGATGCACACAAAAGGTGTCTATTTTATCCACTAAGTACTGACTTACTAATGTGGATAAAAATATTGATAAATGATGACAGTTTTGACAGATATTGAAAAACAGATTGTTAGTTCAATAATGGATTTATGGTAAAAACAAACCACAAATTAGATTTCATAGGTATCTAGTCACGCAGTCAAACATGGAACATCTGTTTCCATAGAACAAATTGCAATTACAGATTTTATATAATTTAAAAATAATGTAAAGACTTCATTAATGTGCAATAAAGTTATCAAAAACGCACACTTCTACTGTTGTGTGTGTTTTTCAATATGCTGTTTTGCTTTTACAGACAGGAAGAATTTCAAGCTATGCTTCACTTTTACACAACAAAATACATTGGGTACATTGTCTGAAAAGAGGCTTTTATATAGCCAAATAATCAGACCAATGACAGCCTGTTTCGCTTGAAGCAGATTGTCATTGGTTATTCCACTATATCAAAGCCACTTTACCAGGCAACTTGTCCATTGTAGCAAGTATTTCAGTAATATATAGTGTTCAATGCTTAATTCTTATAAAATTTATTTATTTAGAAATTATTCTAATGACAAAATTCTTAAATAAAAAATATTTATTAAGAATTTTGTCATTAGAATAATTTTATGCAAAATTCTTGCTTTAAAATTTTGATCTTGCAGTTTCTTTAGATTGTCTAAAAATCATCTTGTTTATCACAGAAATGTTAGTAAAATATATAATTTAGAATTTCATAACAAATTGATATTTATATGAAAAGATTGCAGTGTTACATAATAGACACATTTTTTTTTTTATAGAAAATGTGTCAATGTGCATATTAACCATAATTAATGATCACAATGATTTGTGCTCAAATATCCAGAATTATTAATTTTCAATATTTTAAGATTTGATCCATGAATTATTAAGTAGCAGTTCACACTACATGACAAAAGTCCAAGTCAGTTTAGTCTTACAAAATGTATCAATATAGTCAATTCATTGGATAGCTATGGTGTTGGCTGTATGAAGAGGTAAGTCACTTCATATAGAAATGATTGCCTAGAACTAAAGCAGCTCACGTACACATACAGACACCATAAGTGGAATCTTGCAATTGTCTGTATTTAGATTCCAGTATTAGGTGAAACAGAAAGGTATTGTCTTCATTTAAACAAATAATCCTTAAATCAAATTGATGGCTGTGCAATTAAATAAGATAACAAAAAATATCCATGGCAAAGCAATTTAAAAATTTTTTACTCTTTTTGCCATGTGAGCACTAAGAGGGCCTATTTTCAGCCCCATGAGGTGACTGGGTGAGTGACAGTGTTTGACATATCCACGACAGACCATCCTATGAAAAAAATTAATCCAACTCCCCCAGAGTAGATGGCAGACACCTTAACTGTCCAATTTGGCTGTCATGCCACAGATATTAATTATTATTAAGCAAATGCAATCTTTTAATTGGCCTGTTGTCTATCTAACACCTTTCAGGAGAAGGAAGTTTATTTCAGTTCAAACGTTATTTTGCACTGGAAATTTGTATACATATGTAGACCTCCCGCCTCTAAGAGGTTTCTATATCTGGTCATGTCTTTCATCTAACTCCATTCTCAATGAAGGAAGGACAGAATGACGACATTGAAAAAATTGTAGACCCATAAATTCTCAAATTTCAACCCAATTATCAGCTACATTGTATTCTATTACAGCATTAACAATTCATACCTGCTAATAATAATTAAACTAGCAGCAAAATAGTCACATGCACATTTGCCTAATAAGACTTGAATAATGAATAGAATTACATTAGGGTTTAAATATAGGTAAAATATGTGTTTTTTTTTTTTTTTTTTTTGTAACCAGATATTGGCAGAGAAACTTGTTAAGCAAGATTTTATTTTCTGTCATAATGTTTTTTACATATGAAGTTAACTTTTGTCAAATTGACCCTGAGGGTTTTTCTTCTTTAATCAGGTTAATTGTTTGAGATTTTGAGTAATTGTAATAAATTTTTTGTTATATTTAAGAAGATTCTTGTACTTTGTACCTTATTTCCTTTTGTTTTTTGGTATGTGTACTCTACAGCATACCAGCTGTTGCAACCAAGCAGTTCCCTTTTTACTTTACTCCATTGCCACATCCTGCATTTATTACAATAGGTTTATATCATTTTTTAAGCATTAGGGTATGCAGGACATATCCTTAGAAACACTGAAAAATAGGTAAGGTCATGGAAGGTAGTTCGGATCTAATCTCTAAAATATTGGGCTAAGAACAAAAATTATGATAGAGCAATAGAATGGTGTATGTGTAACTGCTACATAAACCAACTTGAATAAAAATATTTACAATGAAAATAATGAACATTAAACATTGATAAATTAGTTAAGACATATCAATCCAACTCTCCATGTTAGCTATTTTCAATACTTGAATGAATTNGTACAAGACAGTGTAAACACTAAAATCTTTAATTCATCACTAAACACCTTTGGCTATTGAGAAATTTCTATTTGCTTAGACACTAATGTTTTCAGGCTAATGTATACACCATCCTCAGATGACTGATTTTTGGAATATCAGATATAAATGTATTCTATTTTGGAGCAGTTTATAAGCAAATAAATGTTCCTCAGAAGCATGTTTAGAGATGAATTATTTTTTCTGCTGAGTATGAGTTCAGTTTCATATATTTTTAACGATTTTAGAATCAAAATGAAGATTGTTGTTGTTTTTAATATCAAAAATATTTTTAAAAAAAGTATTTAGTACACATGCCAATTCAAAAGAAGAAAATTTCTTTCAGTTTATAATATATTGTTAAAAGTTAAAAAGACCAAACAATTTCCTTTAAGAAATTACGGAAATCTGTAGAATTCCACTGAATCAATAATAATAAGTCATATGATCCAAGATCTCATATAAAATGTATTTTAAAAGATTTAATGCAAATTATTATACTTATTACCTAAATATTTAGATGTAAGCATGTAATAAAATTGATTAGGTTCTAGAAAATCATTCCTTGGAAATGGTTTAATTTTTTTTTTTTTTAACAATCTGAGGATTAATGTTTACAACTTAATAATTTCTTTTTTTGTCACTTAACAATATTGTATGCTATATAATAATGAATTTTATGATTATTATACAGGTAACAAATTCAAAGTTAGGCAAAATGGTACCAATATTTTCTTCTCTATTATTCTCTCTTATAAAAAGACATACTATTTTCAAATGCATTGTTTTACAAACTTTTCTGGTGTTAGATCAAAAATACCATAATAGAGTGCAAAGTTAAAAAATTTATTCATAAAGGACAAAATATTTATATGTATACATACAGTAACAAAAATGCATTACTTAAAAAACAGTATATTTTGAATATTGCTACATTTTGGAGAACAAAATATAAAATAAAAACACAATAAATTTGTAGAAGTTTATAATATTTTAAAATTATAAAAATGAACATTTTTAACATTCAACAACAAAACATTTAAACCTGAACTTTCAGATTTATTTTAAAATGAAGCATATGACAGAATAATTTTGAAGTTGATGCTTTCCCATTGCTTTTATCTGTTTAATTTATATAAACTTGGAAAAAAACAATACTTTAAGTTAGTAAAGTACTTAAATTCTTTAAACTTTGCACTTTGTAATGGTATTTTTCTAACATGAAGAATGAAACAGAAAATTACCTCCATTACTTATTGTGCAAGCAATATTTTTTCGTAATATATCACAGGATTGGTATATTCATAATTATAAAAAAAGCATATTTCAAAAATAGTTATAAAAACTTGTTCATAAATTATTGATTTTAGAAAATAGAATCTAAAACTTACTTTGTTTGTTTAATAATTAAGTCAGTTCAAAATTGATTATGCTTAATCAATTTTGAACTGACTTAATTATTAATTAGCATAATCTTTTCTTATCCTATACATAATCTTAATTATATTCTTCAAATCATTAAGATTATGCATAGGATAGGAAAATATTATGCTTTTTATTAAAAACATTGATCAAGAGTGAAATAAATCAGGCAAGATAATGAGATTTAACTTTAATGGAGTATGATAAAATTTGAATGATTAAAATTTGTCTTGCAGTAGAAAATTTCAATTATTATATCAATTGGATAGATTAAAAAAAATTAAATATAGCTATGCTAGGAAGACAGTGCTATAAATAATAGACACAGTTTACAGTATATATACAAATTTATTGAGTAAGATGCAGAACCACTTCGATATGGTCAAAGAATTTGTACATTCTCGTGGGCAAAAACATCAAATTTAAAAATTTAAAGGAAATAGATTTAATGATTTACCAAGCTATAATTTGCCTTTTTTTTCCTAAAGGATACACAACATACCTAATATACAACTTTGCTATATTAATGAACACAGAGGAGATAAGCAGTTCCGGCCTTTTTTTTATATAGATAATTATGGACGAAACATTCACAAGCCTGTGCAGATATACAAATAGCAAACTGTGCTAGAACTTATCAAAGAGAATTAAAACATTGACTAGCAATGTAATGCAATTACTAAATACTGTTAGTGTCCATGCCAACAATAATTTAATATGATTCCTGCCATGTAAAATGCACAAGATATCTACATATGGAATGACACAAAAACAATATCAATACAATTTACTGATATTGAAAGTATGTTACAAAAAGTTTGGTAAATAATTTTTTTTTTCTTTTGCTGAAAATAAAATAAAATTGCAAAAGTAGTATTAAGATAATTTTTTTTAAGTTATAAAATAAACTTTGTTAGATTTACTTTCATCTAAAGCATTTAACAACTTAAAAATATTCTGTTAAACATTTTGTACAGTTTGGAATATATTGAATATGCATCATTTGGTCATCAGATAACTATCTATTTAAGATAAATTAATATTCCCTTCCCAAATTCACCCTTCTCATTTTTTAAAATAAATCTGATTGGGCAGATTAACCATTACAATATTTGTCATCACAAAATATCTTTTTAAACCTATAGCTATCTGTACCTAGCTGTACAGAAAGACTTGTATGGGGCACATAGAGTTTTAACTCTTAAAAGCCTGAATTGAAACTGGATTTTCTACTCTGTTCAGTAGAAATTGAAGGTGATGGGTTGTACCTGACAGTGTGAATCCCATCCAAACTTAGTATCAGCTGATGCTATAAAGGATCCGTGTCTTGCATTAGGGGCTGCAGTCCATCAGTTCGTTTGTGAATTATATCATAATGAAACAAGTCTGACGTACTAGCTGCAGGTGATATTGATGTGTGTGTGTTACTTCGGTGGTGGAGATGGTGATGGTGATGGTGGTGATGAGTTGGGGATCTTGCCCCATTGCAGTTGTGCGAATCGGGAATGAAGGCAGCTACGAGGAGTGCTAATATCACAAGAAAAGCACCAAATACAAAAGGTGGTCCTGGTATAAGCTGTATAAAATACCATTTTAATTTTAAATTTAAAATAAATGCTATGTTAATCAATATTTTGAGATCAATTACCTGTGTTTCTTCTGAATAAACAAATGTGCCATTAATCACCTCGTGCAGCCGGCTATGTTTGGCAGTGGCATGGCTGATGGCATCTTCACTTAAGTCAACATGAAAGAGATAGAATATAAATCCATATACAGCTGGTCCTAAACCATTACATAATCCCCTCATTCCAGTTATCATTCCTTGAACCAATCCTGTTTAAAAAAAATTATTACAAAATATATAAAGAAGTTTCATTTCAAGATAAATTTATTGCAAAAAGCACCATGTCAAAATCAATATTATTACCTTGTTTATCTGCATCAGCATGTAATGAAACAAAAGAGCTAATAGCTGGATATGTAATGCTAGAAACAGATGCCAGAACACCTGCAGCCCACATCATCCTTGAAAAAACAAATCATAAAATAAATCTGTTTTGAAGTTAGATTTTAAACTGGATTTCAGTTAATATTAATATCCAAAATTTCTTTTGTTACCATGTTTGAGATCCAAAGCCATACCACATCAATTGCAACATTTCAAACAATAAACCTATCATGATAGTGTGTTTGCTGCCAACTGTTTTCATTAGCATTGTCAAAACTGCAGTCTAAATAACAAAAAACAGAATAATTTATATAAAAAATACTCAATAATAAAATGTAATAATTTAAAAATAACTTACTTGTGCAATCACAGAAAGTAAGCCAACAACAGCAATAAAGAGAGCTACCTCATCAGCAGAAAATCCCATGACCTATAAATAAATAAACTGTTTCATACAAGATACTTTATTATATAATAAAAAGATAATTCAATACTAACCCAAAAAAGATAAATGTAATGGTATGATTTAATAATAAACTATCTTACCAGCCGAAGATATACAAAGAAGCAAGAGTATTGACCAGCTTCTGGCAGATAGGATAGAAACACTGTTATACACAACATAAGGATCATATGATCTTTTCCAACTTTTCTTAGTGACTACAATTATAAAAAGAAAAAATATTAAAACAAACAATTTTAATTTTTAATGTCTGCTATTATACTTACAGCAAAAGGATCGGCTTGTTCCCAAGATATTGGGGCACCCCAAGAAGCAGGCCTCACTTTTTCTGGAAGTGATTCAGGTACAGCAACCATGATAAAGAATACGTCTAAAAGAGCAACTGCTGATGCCAAAGCAACAACCAAATTATCACTATATGCACGTCCTAAATATGCACCCAAAGCTGGGCTTGTTACAAGACTGGCAGCAAAAGTAGCTGAAACCTGAATTTATATATAATATTTAGGCAGTGTTTCAATTATTTATTACAAATTGTAGTAATTTAACACTTAATTTAATTGTAATTTTTTACATGAAATTTAATAAAACAATATTTTAAAATTACATAAACTACATAAACAATAATGTAATTAAGTAAAAAAAAAATTACTTAATATACATTATAGAGAGATGCTTACAATTGGTTACAAACATCTCAAATGAAAACATATAATGAAGAAAATTTAAGAAATTCAATGATAATTACATCATTATTAATATGTAGATTGGTCATAAATTATTGAGCATATTTCAGTGATGAATAATAAATAAACCAAAAATTTATCCAACTGTATGATATAATCAACAAAGACTTTAATATATGTACAATATTCTAAAACACATCAACATCTGCTCTATTTATGGCATGCATTGGTATGAGCCAAAAGTTGAAAGTTCAATATTTTTTAACATAACATGGACATGAGTAAAACTGAAAGTAATTGCCACTGGCATTTAAACAATTGTCCAACTTTGATTAGGTTAAGAATACTGTTGTGGAAGAAAGTCTTTGGTTGTTCTTGAAAACATTTCTCAATGACATGGCATTAAATCATCATCCTAAGTGAAATGCCTTTCTTTAAGTGCCTTCTTCAGAGATCCAGAGACATGGTAGTCATAGTTTGACATATTGGAGGAATAAAGGTGAGTGGTCAAATGCCTCTCAACCAAACTTCTGCTGTTTATCTTGGACAGTAGGTGCAATGTGGGAACATGCATTACAGTAAGACCCAGCTTGACGCGGGGAATGCGTTCCTAGATGACAAAGCGCTAAGCGAAACAGCGTTAAACGAGACCATTTTAACAGAGTAAATAGGGATATGGAGAACACACGACCGAAAATAAAATTAAAAAATTTACTTAAGTTACACTAATTTTATATTAATCTGTATAATAATAAATGTTAAATAACACATAGGCAAATGCACATAGAAATGTATAATAATATACTAATTAGTTCATTTTTTGTGACGAAGGTACTGACTTTTCTGAAAATCTTTTTTTTTTTTTGCAATAAAGTCGTGAAGTTTCATTTGTCGCTTTTTTCTCTCCTTAAGCAAATGTCAGTAGCAGAAGATCGCATCCAAAACACCTCATTTTGCTTTTGCACTCCTTTCAAAATCTAGATAATTCACTACAATTTGATCAACAATTTCGGTTATTGTTACCAAACTTTTACTAAAAAAATTGTGAAGACCCAACCGAGGTCCGAATCATGTAAATCGCGATATTCCTATGATTAAATAATAACGATAGATTAATTATGAGAGGGAGAGGAAAATCCCATAATTTAAACAACGCGGCACAAAATGTAGACAACGAGTCTCGGATTACTCGAACACGTGTTAAACTAACTGTCAATGTCAGAATGAAAAGTTATAATTCAGAGACAAGTGGTCATATGCAGGTAGAACTTTGACCCCAGCTCTCATAAACAGTCAATCTAGGGAAACAATTTCTGAAAAGAGGGAAAGATTTAAGAGAGATAAATCATTGCATATGATCGTTCGAGTACCCAGATGACAGAAATCGCGAGTAACGGAGCTAAATTATGAGCGCGAGTCTTGCAATATTGTCAACAATCGACAGAACGGCGTCGAGCAGACACCTGGAATCGGACCTTTCTCGTGACCTGAGGCGGTCTCAGTTTATCCCAAAACAAAAGAGAGACCAATCGGGAAGCGAGAAAGGGGATGAAGGGCCAATCGGAAGTCCGAATAGTGGAAGAGAAAAACTATAAAAATCCGAAATCCGAGGTCAGGGGGGCTCTCCTCCGACTCCACGAAAGGTAGTGACTTCTATTGTGGTGTGTCGTCGCAAAGGAACTGTGGACTCCGCCGCTTATATCTTCCGATCGTCCGCCGTGATCAGCAACAGCATCTCATCCGCCCCGGGGCTACGACCGACGCCGAAGTTCTCACACTCCGCATCTTCGAGGGAAGAAACTAGTGAAGGACTGTCGATTGCCGATGTAAGCATATATGTTAACAAATAAACGGCTTTCTTGTGTAAAACACTTGTCGTCATTTGCCTCCTCCGTCACTGCCCACATACAACCTTCCCTTAGGTCCATCCTGACGCGGGATTAATAGATCCCACCTAAGAGACGGCATCCTTACACAGTTGCCGTGAAGTGGGTTTCAAAACCCTTTTCTTTCCCCGGATCGGCCATCTTACAAAATCTGTAGCAAGTTCTTTGGGTTCTCTGTTTTCAGAATCTCTGTTTTCCAGTTCTACATAAATCCTTGTTCTGCCAGTTCTTGATGTCATCGTTGGTAAAGCTCTTACTTGAAACCTGCAATAACTCCCAATATCCTGCTTGTCTACATCTCCTGTATCAATTAAATTGACAATTTGGTCAACCTAACAATACAGCGATAGGCTTTTCTCGATGAGAATTCTTGGATACCTTCAGCCATAACTTCTTCCACATTCTGTTCATGCATTTATCAGTTAATTCTTGCCAAGCCAAGTTGCTATTTCCTATGGCATCCATGATGCTATATTTTTTCCAAAATTGCACAAAACAAACGGATTTAAGGGAACTACAGCACTATGACGAATTGCCACCTTTTGCTGAATGGTTCGTGTTTGGGAATAATCATATTATATATGAATCAATGAAATGCTGCATTACATTGAATCAGCGTTAAGCGATGCAGCATTAAGCGGGGTCTTACTTTATTACAAAAGGACAATGCTTGTGCTGAGTTTTCCCAATCATTTAGACTTTAGGGCTGCTAAAAAGGAGGCAATCAAAGACTGCAATAATGATATATATCTATGGATTTTGGCTGCTCTGTAATCCCTCTTCAACAAGAAACTAGATCAGTTCCTTGACCAGTTTTGGATGGATTATGTATCATGTCTGCTATTGTTTTCTTTATGGTGTACTGCAAATCCATTTGCCAGACAAACAACTATTTGAAAATGTAAATCGTACAAACTGACTGTCCCAACCACATGGATCGCTAAAATCTGTGCCATGATTCAACTTCCTGACATACTCTCAACTTTTTGGCTTATACTACGTTCGCACACAATCCACGACTCACTTCGATCTCGATTTACCTAAAATCTGGATTGTAACTATTCATCATTAAAATATGCACAATAATTCATGACCACTAACCTCTAATAATGAAGTACTCAAAGAATACCACACAGTTTTCATGTAATTAAAATGAGCTGATATATAGTTAATATTAATTACATATAGACAATTTTATTATTAGATTAATTCAGGCATGGTTAAGACTAGATTAACTATGGGCTGATTCCAACCCAATAGTTGCTTGTCTTAATTACAAAAAAAATCTTTGTCATCATCACATTTTACACATACTCCATCAATCCCAACAAAACCTATCTATAAACAAACTAAATACCTGCAGAACTCATTATTTTAAAGTAACTGTTATGTCAATAAAATGTAAAAAATTAATAACTTGTTTTTATATTTCAAAACTCATCCTTATTAATTAAAATCTTAATTTTGTAAAAAGATTTAAATGATGTCATGAATCACAAAAGGATACTGGAATCTGTGTAAACGCTGACTCATCAAAATTAATCCTACTGCTGACATATATAGAAAGCCCAGCTATTCAAATAAAGTGTTGTTTTGGAAAAGTAAATATACACAAACTAGGAATTTTATATTAGAATGCTTTTCATATAGAAATTTTAGGTTACTGAAATATCAAAGTACAGAGTATAAACATATTTTGTGGAAAAATATAACAACTTACTATATATCAGATTAAAAAAAATTAACCTGAAATTTCATGCAAGTTTATTATAAGCTATTCTTCAAGTAAAAATTTATTGTGAATTCATATAAGTATCGTTTTTGAATGGATTCTATCCAAGATATATGCAAGGACTTCAAGTCAGATTTTACATAAGCCAGGAACGATTAACAACATATTGTAACTATACCACCGTAAATAATGACATACTACACATTAAATAACACCTTAAATATACATACCTGATAAGCCAAAGTTACAAAATCTACATAAGTAACCCCAGAAAAATAAAAATAGTTACATGTAAAAATTAAGAATTTTATATGGAAATGGTGGTGAAATACCCAGAATGGCACATAAGAAATTAATTTTTTGAAAAAGATCAAAATATTTAAATTTTTTTTTGATACAAATAACCATATCATGAAATTAACAAAGCCTATAATTGTAAAAAAAACCAATTAAAGTCTGAGTAGTGTAAATCAGATGATAATTGTATATGAGTAGTATGCAAAAAAAAATTTTTATAAAGTTTATTTATTCTATAAAAATAGAAGAGAATTTTATATCTTTGATCATTATTTTTGTAACTAACTTCTTTAATTACTTACTCTGATTTACAAAATCCAAATATATAAAATTTCAAAAATATTTATTCTGTATTTATTTAAAATCTGAAAATCAAATTAAGTTTTTATTATAAGGAATATTTATTCTAAGGCAAAAAAATATAAACACTTTTGTATGAAATCAGATTAGTATTTTTTATAATTAATTATACATAAAGAAACTTTTTTACAATTATACTTACGAGTCCATATGCTGCACTTCGTTCTTGTTCTTCAGTGACATCTGCTACATAAGCAAACACAACAGAAAATGTTACAGCAAAAACTCCAGAAATTGAGATCATTGCAAAATACCACCTAAAATTTAAACAAAAATGAATTTTTGTAGTTTTAATTATTTTTATGCAGCAACTTATTGTAAAATTTTGGCATAACCTGCATACCATGTATTTAATTTCATGAGAGGTATTGGGGCACAGGTAAAGAAAACTGTCAGAAGAAGAAATAGTTTTCGACCCCAAACATCAGAAAGTGCTCCAATTAAAGGAGCACTCAAAAAAGATAAAATACCCTATAAAAAAAATTATTGGTCTTATAAATGATGATATTTTCATATATTTATATCATAAAGTAATACAAACTCACCTTTATACCCACAATTAACCCATTCATCAAAAAAGTATGGTTAGGAAATGTTTCATTTAACACCTACAAACAAAAATAATAATATTAAAAATAATTAAAATTAATCATAATTTCAAAAAAATAAAGCTTTAATAATATTAAATTTAAATTTATTTCATTAAATTCTATCTAAAAAAAAATTTTAAATCAAGTTCATGATTTGATAGATTGCTATTAATTTATCCGAAAATTTTTTTAAAAAACAAAGACTAATATTTTAAAAAGCTTAATTTAAAAAAATCCTAAATAAATAAAACAAATCATTTAAATCTAAAGGTCAAAGAAAATACTATTGCACAAATTTTAGTAACAGGAAGAAATTTTAAAAAATTATGCAATGTTCAGACTTGATAATATAGATTTAGACTCAATACTGATAAATGTGATTTAATTATACTTTACTACATTTCCCTCCTTTTTTAATGTACTGATAGTTTGTTTGACTTGAATTCTTATTTATACTTATTCTCTCATTGATAAATTGTTTAAAAAAAACTTAAATCTTATATGGGAATAACATCATCATCATTTAATAAAAAACTCAAAAGGAAGCTGATATCATCAGTTTTGCAATAACTGAAATTTTAAAATCAAAATACAATGCTTTGTAAGGTAATTTATATGACATATTTATAGGTGATATTAAATTATTGATGTATTTAGTCATTATAACTAACATGTATATCAGTTAAATTCTAAAATGCTTTTCAATTTTAAAAAAAATATTTAATTGTAACAGCATAAATAGTAAATGAGATATTAAAATAAACACTCCAGTTGTTTGTATTTGATTTGCATATTTGAAGATGAGAATTTAAAAATCAAAAATATGATTTCTATAAATAAATTAGAACAAATATTGTTTATTTTAGTATATTTTATTTAAATAATTTAAAAATTCCTTTGAGTTAAATATACTATGTACTGTTTTCAATATTAGTTTAATAAATCACCCTATGAATACATTAATTAGAATAGCACATACATGTAGTGTACATTCACTATAAGATCTTTTGTAGATATACTGAATTATATTTTGAAATTTTTAAAAATAAATAAATATATTAACTGTAGAGTTATTTATATTCAACATAAACATTTAAATAATTTACTCAGTTTTATTTGTTTTTTTTTACTGAAAAAATTTAACAGTAAAAAGAAAACATCTTAACATTAATAAATATTAAAAGACTAAAATTTGAATTATATGTTATTGCAAAGAGTCATTCATCAAGTGTAAAAATATATTAATATAAAATTAGTTGAAGAATCAATTAAGTTTAAATTTTATGACTGCTTATTTAATTTTGACTTTACAGTTGCTATGGTAACCTTATTCCACTAAAAAACACTTCATTAGAATTTAAGGCGACAGCTTGTGCTACATAAAATCTTCACTATTAAAATCTATAGACATTTAGTCTAAATAAACATCTCATTTTTTCTTATCAGATTATATACATAAATATATATTTATTTATTTTATATATTTAATTCAACAAAACAGTCATTTCAATGTTACAAAAATTGATATATCAAGAGTTGCATATATTTTTCATAAATTTTAATTATTTTTGCATTTTTAAATAATCTTAGTTATAGAAACAGTTTAATTTATCACTGATTAAACAAAATCAAATTGCTTTTATAAATAAATAAATAAAAAGTATATTATTTACAGAAGATATTAATTATTCTGAAATATTTAAATATAACTACATTATCTTAAGGAATGTTGTGTATATATTTTCAATACATTTATATTAATTAAAAATAAATTTCTTTCAAAAGAAAATAAAGAAAAAAAAATCAATTCATTATTTTATGACATTGAAATGAATTAAATATTGTAAGAAATCTAATACTAAACTAAAAATCCTCTTGAATAAATTTTCATTAAAAACTGATTAATGAAATTCTAATATCTTAATTAAATTTCATGAATACTTATTTAAAATTATTAAACATTTTCAAAATTATCTATTACAGTAAATGCCATTTATTGTAATCACTTTGAGACTAGCTTATACTGAGAAGTGAGAACTATATTAAGGCTAATTAATAATCAAAAACAGAAATTTGCCTACAGACAGACAGTTAAGCTGCCATCTTATTTATAATTACTAAAAATTTTTTACCATAAATTTATTTTAATTTAGAATACTCTGGAAAAAAATAATTAGTCCAGAGCAGGATTTGAACTCAAACCTGAAACACCTGCTTACAGTACAGTTGATTACCAGTTACATCATCTGGACATCTAATCTTTGCTTCCAAAGCATTACTTAATTTAGATATAACCATACTGTTATTACTAATATAACAACACACAACCCAATATATGTATAACTGTAATGTTCCTTCAGTGATTTAAATTCTAACACTTTCATATTTAAACATAAGCATAAGGCATTGTAGATATTCTTCAATGACTATTCAACAATAATTTTTTGATCAATCTACCTTTATCCATAATTTAGTTGAAGCAAAATCTTAAGTTTTCTCCTCACCATGAATGCACATCTATACCTTATATTTTCCCATTTTCTTTCATCAGTTGAACCACCCATCAGTTGTAATGAAATATTTCTTTACCCTATTTTTAGCTAATTCTTATGATGCATCAGTTGCCATGTTTTCACAAACATTACTAAATCAAAGCTTCAAAACTAACTCAACTTCATTATCTTTTCCAGTCTGATTTCTCTTCTGAATCATGTTTATTCTTTTCTTGCTGACATTTCAATATTTACATTGTTTTTAAATCATCATAAAACTGGTTGTGAAATTTTTAACTTTGCAGCAGCGGTGTATTGACTCATTTTTGGAAACTTAGACTTAAAATTTAGAATGCTATATCTTTAAGGGACAAATCTTTGCAGTATTCTAAACAAACATAATGAAGATCACAGTCTTCATTACATTCACAGATCAAAAACAAAAATTTTATATGATCAAACAATTTAATTTAATTTTGACCATTGTGATAATATTTTTATTGGAACAACATGGCTATAAAAAGGTCTGTTTTGTCAGTTGGCTGTAATTGACTACCAGAAGCAACCCCACATATTGTCTTTTTCACCTATGCCTAGGGTCTCACACTTTCAGGGACTCAAACTTGGTAATGTATTTTAGTATTTAATCATCATAGTAATTATTGAAAATATAACTGTACCAGTATCTATTGCTTCTGCAGAATGATTATTTTCAAAGTTAAAATTGATCAAGAACTATCTCCAGTCAGCAAAGTGTCAAGAAAGACTTTCAATATACATAATCAAAAGTGAAGAAATAGATATTGCTGCAAAACTGGATTAAATTATTTACTTAATTATAACTATTAATTAATTATAAACAAATAATGATAATTTTGAAATTATCACTGTTACTAATTTATGATTACAATACAAAAGTAGTAATTGAAGTTTAAATTCAATTTTAAAATATACGTAAGTGGTAAATGTTATTTATGTTTTGGAGCATTATAATGTTAGACAACCGATAGCAATATACATGATTATTATAAAAATGGCACCTACTGTATTATTTTGCTAATGAATAATTTTAATAACTTTTTTATTCTAATCATATATAGAAAAATCTTAAGTTATTAATCATGTTATTATTTTTAATTTATTAAAATAAACAATTATATGAAAAATTAACTCACAACAATCATAGGCGAAGTAAGTAGACCCCAAGCAAAAAATTCTAAAAAAATCACAACCAATGCATGATACACAGTAGGTTCACCTATCCCTGAGTTCTGAAAATAATTTTAGAAAAACATTAATAATTTAAAAATATTTGTATACCTACAATTTCTCTGCTAAAAATGTATGACTATACCATTTTCAAATTCACCATTTTTGATATGATATCCATTGTTTCAAATTATTATTAATATATATAAAATTTTTAAAATAATTTAAAAACTAATTTTATAACAGAAAATAACTTTGCATTAATGAGAACAGGATATATCATTCAAGCAAAACTTCTTTTCAATTGCTTAAAATTGCATGTTTTATAAACTATTCTATACNTAACGTGTCGTACGAAATTCGTCCATTCAACAGCTGTTCGGCTACTCACGCCCACAGCCAAACAGGTACACACTCAACGTGAATTCTATGCAAATTAGATGCCAAATAAACGAAAAAGTAGTTCCCAAGAAATTTTCCCAAATTTACGTTTAAAAATTACTTCAAATGACCAATTGTTTATCTTGCATTTATGACATCGAAAAGAAACACGATCCTTTCGATAATTTAATTTACCAGGACCATCACATTTCCAACGAACAGCATCTGAAGGTTGTGTACTAAACTTTATGGCGAACGTACCAACTGATGTATTTCTTTTGTCACAATTAAATTTGGAACATTCCGATACTATAAAATGAAAAAAAAAATCCCTCGAAGCACACTTTCGCCAAGAAAATTGTTGATGTTTTCCAAGCTCCACCAATAGTAATGCGCTTTATTTTTAATGGCATAGTATAGCTACTGTACATTCATTTCATAAATTAATTTTCTCAAATTACAGAATAATTGCAGTTTTTAATGTATGTAAAAATAATTTGTACAGTTTATTTATCTTTTATCTTAATGAAAATTTGATTTTTGCAGATTACATCGTTTCTTAGTATAATTACTTTATCTGTGGAATATTCCAAGTTTAATTACAGTATATCCAATAATATCGCATGTAAGTAATTGCTAATATAGGACTATATAAGCATTTTTAAATTTGTTTTATATTAAATATTCTGTGGTACTTATTTAGTATTAAGAATATTCATTCATTCTTTTTGAAACAGACACCGTCAGTCTAATTTCTGTTTTCGTATTCATGGTAATTTTTCTTCTTCTAAGCTTAATTCTGTTATATGCCGTGACTAAGGTATGTGATTTTTAAATAACACTTGGATTCCAAATAAATCTATTTTAAATATTTCTATTATTTTAAAGGAAAAACGTCGAGCGTTAATACCTTGGATGATTTGGATAATTATTGTAATCGTTCTGCAGTGTGCTGGAGCTATTTTCTTTTTAATAATCACTTTCATTATATTGAAACTGGTATGCTTTATAAAATATATAAAAATACAGATATAAAGTATAAAGAAATTTAATTCTTAATCTGTATTTCAGATATATCTTATTCCTTTTGCAATAACTATCATTTTACTTGGGTTAAATGTAAGTAATTTTTTTTTAAATAAAATAGAACTGTTTTTACAAATACTTGGAAATTACATCAGCATATACATCATATATATAAGTATTCTTCCTTGCATATTTTACGTGTATTCCGAAAATGTACTTGAAGGTTTTTTTTTGCATATCGATTAATATAAACTATTTTAGATCCCTTAACGATATATAAAGTATATTAAAAGAACTAATTCATAATTTAATAAAAAAATTTGTTTTAATTTTCAGATTATTTGTTTCGTAGTGGTGAAAACTTATTATCAGTCGTTGGATCCGTCCAAGCTCTTAGATGAAGAATCTCCGACATACAGGAAATTTTGAATTTGTTTTCTATGAATTGTATTATTATATGTGTGTATATATATATATGTATTATTTATAAAAAAAAGTCCATTTTCTAATTTACAACAAAGAATTTAAAAATTTTTTACTTAACTTGATAAATGAATTTTGTGTGTGTGTGTATATATATACACACACAAAATTAACTTATATACTGTTTAATGATTAATATAAATGTAAACAAAATCTTTATGTACTTTAAAACATTTATATTTTGCATGATTTTTGTTTGAAATAAATATATAGCCTATTATTATAAAAATCACTTTTAAAAAACACTCAAAATACATTCTTTAGCTTTATACACACACACGTGCATGTACGGTACATGCATGCACACGTATTAATTTGAATTTAAAAAATTTTTAAATGTTCAAATTTTGACGGGTAATTAATAAATCCAGTTGAAAATTTTAAAAACTGAAAAATATATTTTTGATTTTAAAGCAATGGTATAAATTTAGGTTTATTTTCTTAATATATTTTTGTATTAGCAAATCTTAGATTTATTCTAGTTTAATAAAAGATAGTTAAAATCCATAAAGATATTAAAATTTATCATCAAAGATATATCTAATTATATATTTTATGTGTATCAGATATAATTATCATAATTTGTAATGATATATTGTTGTATGTTATTCAGAAGATCCATTTTAATATAGATTATAAATGATACATGATGTTAAGTAAATTTATTAAACTGTTACGAATTATCATTTTAAGCTATAAAACTAAAACCATTAATTTGATTGTTGAAAGTTTTGATCTTAAAACCAACAAAACATAAAAATTAAATTGTAAATGTAAATAACATCAAATCTTCAATATCTAATAAGTAATTTTAGAATAAGTAAACACTTTCAGTTCCTTTTAGTAGACATTTGATATATTACATATTTATAATTTTATAAATCTAGAGTAATACATGCATCACACAGACATGCAACATCAAAAAACGTTTGTTTAAATAGTAACAATTTTTAATAAATTATTATTTGTAGTTAGTTATGTTCAAAATTTACCAGTAAAATTCTGTTTCTCTTCTATAAAATTTTAGATTACATAAAATTTCAATTTAAATTACCAATGTTTATTGTGTTAGTTATGCAACAAGAAGGAAAACATAAGNTGTTATGCAATCAAAATTTTTAAAATGAAAAATGATAAATAATACCATTTACATATTATCATTTTTTGTACTTTGTAAATTTTCTGACTTTTTGATAATTTTTGACATATTTCCTGACTTTCTAGATGTGTAAGAACCCTGTATTTTATACAAATAATTTTTAATTAGAATTTTATTCCCAATATCTTAATCTAATTTTGTTGTTATTGGAAACATGATTATCATCTACTAACTGAGGTGAGAGTAAATTAGTAATTACAGATTGTTAAAAATGTATGGAAAAGAAGATAAAACTGTAGTGAGGTTTTAACATGCAACTTTTCAATGCCAATTAAAAGAAATCATGCACTGCAAACGAAATGCAATTTCTTAATTGAGACAAAGTATTAGCAAAGTCTCTTTGTGACTTAGTTTTGTTTGTTCTCAAAATATGTTCAGTCGATTTTGATTAAACATTGCCATTTTCTATTAATTGCAATGAGGAATCCAAAAAGATAATAAAAAGCGGGATCCATGGCTCCATTTTTTGAGATATCAAGTCATACCACAAGGGCATATAATAAAGATAATCACATGAATCACACAATTTTGTCAGGTGATGTCCCAAAGTCGCTATCACATCATCTATGGGCTTATAGAATTGAGTTCATTCTCAAAATTTGACAGGCTGATTTTGATGAAACTGCCATTTTCCATTAATTGCAATGGGAAATCCAAAAAATGAGATTCATGACTTCATTTTCAATATGCAGTGGAATCAAAATGACAATGTCAATGTTCCTGACACAGCTGAGCACACCTAATGGAATTTAGGGCTAGGGGTCAAAAATAAAAACAGCATTGTGTGCACTTAACAGAAAATAGGCATGAAAAACAAACAAATCACTAGAAAAAAAGCAATCGATGGTGATTGCTTTGTTCTTGAATTGCCTCTCCGTATCAACAAGTCACCTCTTGTATGCCGAACAGGTGCAAGAATCTCTTCTTTCCAGCTCCGCCTCAGTTCTATCGTGATACAACAAAGTTGCATGATGTTCTAGTTATGTTATAGTATAACTATATATAAAAAAATGAAATACTGCATAAGGATAGCTATGTATAATAAAACTCCATTAAAATGAAATAGTATATGAAAAAATATATTGAATTAGAGATAAAAACTATTTGTTAGTTCAATATACTGTATACTGATTCAGTAATTATATATATACAGGTAACCCCCGTATAACACGGCACTTCTATAGCACGTATTCACTCTGACACGGTTCCAGAAATGGGTAAAACCCTCGTACAACATGAAATGTAATAAATTTTTACATACTGAAGTACTAATAGTTCATGAAAATTATTATTTTCGTGAACTATTAGTACTTCAGTGTGTAAATTTTCTTTTCTCGTCTCCATACATATGGTCCTTCACGAAAATTGTTTCAATTTTGCCATATCTCGACGCTTCTGCGTCTGGTGTTGCCGAATGTTTTTCCCTTATTCCATACTTGCTTTATTCTTCATAAGTGCTTAGCACCATATAAGGAAATTTATAAAGATCTTTTAACTAGAAGCAAGCAATTTAAAATTACATACATTTTGCAAAAGGTAAAGCATGAATCTGAAAATAATGCAGAAAAATGCTCAGAGGATAACGATAACTTGCCAAAAATAAAACGCTCTCGGTTAATAGTGCTTTTAGTGAAGCAAAGAAAACATTGTTTAATTTATATTAATATGTATCGCTTAAGAAAATTTTAATAAAGATATTTAACTTAATTATGAAAATATAGTAGCATGTTTTTTTAATTTTTGGAACCTAACCCTCCTTTTCGTACTAGTTCTTTGATTCGCATAACACGGCAATTTTTTGGAATGTAACTACCGTGTTACACGGGGGTTACCTGTATATATTTCATATATATAAAATAATGTGTGTGTATATGTATATATTATATATATACACACACACCACTTAATAAATCAGATTCCAACCATCCAACCAGAATCTTAAAAAGTCATTAAGAAACCATCAAAACTTTGGGTATCTAATGTCACTAGTAGATTGATTTTTCACTAGAATTCCTTGAACATATGGACTGTGTGTTTTCATTCTTCTTTTAGAATAAATATTAATTGGCTACAACCGTGTGCTTATTTGAAAATAATGCTCATTAGCAAAAACTTGAGAGAATGCAACACAGGATTTGTGGAAGCTTTGTTACCATACAGAAATGTTGCAAGGTGACTAGCAGCATTCCAATGTGGAAGAGAAGAAAGTGCTGATTTGTCACATACAGAATGTCCTGAACAATAAAGCAAATGAACTGGAAATATAAGATAAATTTACTCAAAAGCTTTTAATTCCAACATAGACTAGATTTTAATAAAGTCAAATGTTACAACAAAGGTTGCAATTCTTTATGTAGTGATGCTCTATCACTATACAGCAAAGCATTTCTAAATGAAGCATTATTATGTAGCAAACCATTTCTAAATGTTTGTTGCAAGAGGTCACTGCAGCAAAGATAAAGCAGCTTTTACATCCACTACCTGTTTAAAGCAAATGGATGCTTGTATATATAGTGGGATAGTATACTGTGAAAATAAAAAGTTGAAGTGACTGTTGATAAAGATTAAGAATGTTATGGAAAGATTAAGAATGAGTAAATTTTTTAAACTGACTGAAAAAGTCATCTAAAGAATAGGAAAAAAACTATATCTTAAACATAATTATTCATCTGTCTCTCTACTTTGTTCACATTTTCAAAAAGAGAAATGCTCAATTCTATATAACTCAACTCCTTTTGTTATATTGTAGTTTTTTAACTAAAACACAACTTTTGGCTGTAACTGGAATTATAGATAGATTGCAGCATCCATGTTTAGCTCAAGCAGAAAGCATTTATAAACTATAATGTAGCAATAGCTGTTTGTGATGTCATTTTCAATACACTCTTGCTACATAAAGAAATGCAACCACAGGCAAATTTACATCTGTCTATGTATCTCACTCCTGATTGGTTGTCTCCCATTTCTGTTTCAAAAGTAAAATTTAAATACAGAATTCTACAATAGAATGTTTATCTTTAGAACATAATGTGTAATGAATATAATTTTAAGACAGTCTATTGAATAAGGCCAAAAATGATTAGCTTTATTAAAAACTAGCAGACCCCGCCACGCCTTGTTGTGGCTCAAAATGTATCTATTATAAATGTATAA